CAATCAAGAATTGCTGTCGCAATTCATTGCAGGAAAACTGGAGCTTGCATGGGGGAGAACAAAAGCCACGCCTGACTAATACTAATGTTGTATCCCTGGAAAAACTATTGGGAACAATCGGTGCAGAGGGGAATGTTCCGATAGTCGGGAACAACGTGTGTTTTTCTCAACGCGCATTGTTCTACGTGCCGCTGGGCATAATGGTAAAACCGGAGGCTAACATCGCGGTTTTTACAAAGATACTATACATGAGTCACGCAACACATATACGGTGTTGATCCTGACGAGCGGATATCGTATACGAGTTCCGCTGAAAATCTCAATCAACAAAGACGCATTAATCGCGCACCGTTTCACCGTAAGTAAAAATCGCGTGCGTGTGTGCGTTCTGTGCACCGTTTCTAAGAACGACGATAGCGTTTTCGAGTAAACGTGATTTTGAAGAAATCCTATTTCATGAAAATGTTTTTGAACGTGTAACGAACGTGCGATGAATATTTTCTGATCTATATATCTCTTTATTTTAATTCAGGATTAAATAAAAATTCAAATTTTAACAAAAACTTATCAAAGACAGCAAATCGTTAAACGACAAGCAGATATATATCTTTCAGTAAAGAATTGTTTTGATACATAAATATATAACAATTAAAATTATTATTATTCTTTATTCTCTATTTTTAAGGAATATTTTCATCTATATAATATTATCTTACAACATTGTATTACATTTTTCTAAATTATATCGAATCTTGTTGGGAGCTTTTAGACTCTTTGAAACTTTATCTATATTATTTTATGTAAACACAGAAGGGAGTACAGATTCAATAGTCATTGATACAATAATTTGACTCGTGAGAATCAGATTTATTCGCTCCCAGAGCGATTTCGATCGTCTGAGTCGAAAACGCTATGGGCTCTTATCGTCTACGTGATCGTGTCTTGATATCATCATCAATCGACTTTTTCATTGTCGGTATCGTTGACACTTTCCAGCACGGAACACGACCATGCACTCGAACATAATATTACTGTCGACGTTGGTGGCCTTCGTCACCGCCGAGAGAATTCTAATGACAGAGGTCTTCGTCATTCCCATCAGACCCGAGACTTTCGATTGGAATACAGATGGTAAGAAAAATATATTTAACCTATTCTAATTTTTCTTAACAGAAATACTTTATCCAGTATCGTAACCGATGGATATCAGTAAACTCAATATATCAATAAATCTTTCGCACCTTAAAACAAAAAATAATGAAAGAAAGAAGCGAGGAACAAAAGAAAGATACCGTTGTTCTTAGCTTATGTATATTATAATAATTAAAACGATTGAAAGTCCTCGAATTGGTCTATGAAAATGCAATTATTTATTATGCGGCGTTTATTGTACTCTATTTTACATCCAAATCTTCAAATTATTTTTTTTTTATATAAGTAACGATGAAAACGGAGATATATTTTCTAAATTCCTATATATTAAATTTATGCAACCAAGATTATTATTTTCATAAAAAATATGTGTAGAATAAAATTTTTGTGAGGTTACAACAGGTATTTAGTTATACAGTTTCTTCTTATCATTTAAAGTCAGTAAATATTGTTTTGGAAAACTTATCTAAAATAAGGAACAATATCGGACAGCTATTATTATCCCACGTGGATACCCGTTAACCCATTTCACAATACGAAATTAAACTATGTCTTCGTACGTCATTCGTAACACGCCGCGAATATCAATTACTTGTTGGACCGTCGTCGTCGTAAACGTTTGCGCTGACCTTATGATCAATATTGTCGCATACCGCGGTACTTTCTAATTCAACGCCTTCGGACAATTTTAACGATACACGAAAGGAGTTGTTAAAGTTATCGCCTGTCTCATATATAAATTTATATTTCTCAAATTAGATGAGGCCGCCTGCCATATGTGCGCTTGAAAAAAAATTTATTTCGTATTCGTATTTCTTATTCAAACTTGAGTCGATCGATCATTTCGAGAGAAGTGAAAGGATCTTAAAAATCATACAGAATTTAGATCACATGTTTATATATGTTTCGGACATTTAAGCAGTTTTATTCACAGAGAAATATATATATTTTTTACTTCATTATCAGCTTTTTTCTTTGCTTTTTGTACCAGCATTAAGAACCGTTGTCCCATTAATTTTATTTTTGTCTGCCGTTTTAACCTCGTTTTTTGCACATTTATTACTATGCGACATTTTTATTCCTAATTTTTCACTTTTCTCTTTTGCAATTTTTTTAAAAAAGTTTTATTAAAATATTTATTTTAAGTTGTTTATTTTTCTATCTTCTATTTTTCTATTACAGATATATTTTATATACATTTCTTACATATATTTTTTCTATATTTTTTATAAATAATTGTTCTGTCATTTTATGTTGCAAACATCTCGGATACTTATACTGTGTCGTTTTATTTCAGGATACTCAGATCAGTTTTCGTATCAACCTTCTTTGCTGAACGCCCCCGATCTCCCGTCATGGATACATTACACCTACAGCAAGAAGGATCATCACGGTTTTTTATACGGCGTCGCGCCTATAGATCAAAAGTATTTTCAGGTGATACACAATCACGCTATGTCATCAGTTTGCAGTTGACAATGCTTAACTGAGATAATTTCAGCTGGAGATCGTGGGGTTGAACAAACACACCTACGAAACCCGTTACAAAGTGCTCGACATGAACGTGATCGAGAGAGAGAATTTGACCAAGTACGAGGTGCACCTGAAAATCGACAATCTAAACGTGGAAGACATGTTCGATCGTAATCGCACCCAAAAGCTCCTCGATATATTCAGGTCAGTTCGCGTAAATTTCTTATAATCTTCAATTCCGTAGTTTCAACGTCCTTGATATCGATAACGTACGTCATTTGTCGCTTCCTTCCTTATGCAAAGCGTAAACAGGGGACTTTTTCGATATAACACATGTATAAACTTCTCAGAAATCAAACTAGTTAACTTTATATATAAAATGAAAAAATAGAAAAACTTGATAAACAAATCATATACTCTGAAATTAAGAAATTAGAACAAAAAGTGAAATCGATCAGTTTTATTTTTTTCGAGAGGCTATATCTCCAATTAATGATACTTAAATAAATAAATTGTGCCGATAACAAACGCATTTAATTTTAATTGCAGAAAAAAGTTATGGAAAGGCGCTACGGACCTGTACGTGACTTTTTTGGCGTCTGCGATTGAGCTCGGAGCTCGTTTACCCCTGAAACCCAGCGAAGGCGAAGGGTGAGTTTCTAAATTATCCTCTATCCAACTCAATTTAGCCCTTAAATCCAAGAGGGTAAAATTCGCTGCGAGACTTAGGATAGCAAAGCTTCCAACTATGACTTTCTACAAACGTTTCATCAATCATCAACTATACAGGTGAATAATATTCACAAACAGTTACACAAGCTGTGGCAAATATATCATTAAAAAAACAATATAAATTATTTTTCATATTATTTGGTATTAGAGAATAACGTAAATAATGATGTCTTTAAACGGATTCTTTCTCGATTCCAGCGTTAGTCAATTACGCGAATGGCATAAATAAAAAACTAGAAGTTGATAAAGTTGATGACAAAATTTCATAGAAACGCATTAACGTGGTAATGAAAATTAGAATAATGTTGCCATCACGACGAGAAGCAGTTTCTCTGATATCGCTGACGTACTAATCATCCGATCAACCGCAAACAGCTCCGTGACGTGGATTCACGACGGTTGTTTTTATAATTGTATATTGCTACTTCCTACATGCGCTATCGTTTATGCGCCCGACGGGAAAAACATAGGTAACGCTCTCTTATCGGAGGCTGGATAATCTAATTATGTATATGGCCGACAACTTTGAGAAATGGCAGTCGTTAAGAGATAGCGATCTCTATGTTGCAGTCGTGCCCGTTTTATTCCTCGCACACATTATAACGTTTTATTCTTAACATATTATATCAAGCATATTATTATAAAAAATATTCCAAATGCGACGATTCGACAGATAACAGAATCATCTGTTATCGAACTGAAGCGAATGATATGGAGCGAGTAATGATCGGGATTTGCATTGTCATCGCGACGAGTCGCCTTGGCGCTTATGATGCGTATTAATAAAAATTTTCGCCAAGTTTAAATCACCTATAATGACGAAGAGTATTGTACGAAGCGTCTTGAATCACAATTAATGACTTTTATTGCTTACATCATCGCGATTAAACGCTCCTCCTTTTGCGGATTTTTACCGTGACGTACTTCGTCGATCGACAGATATCGCTTTTTCGCGCGATTATTTCCCATAGAATCCGCGATTGAATGACGGCATAATTATTCACGCATTTTCTCGAATAAGCGTCCAGTTACACGTGGGATCGAGCCGATTGGACTTTCCATTTATAATCGTGTTTATAATCGTTATACGGCGCATAGTTCCCGCGCTCTGTGACTCCCCCAAGATTCTGATTCTACGGATCAACAATCATAATTTATCGCAGTAATCTACGCGATACTCCTGCGGCCACGTAAACGGACGATAACGATGATTTATCTTCCACTTTCATGTCCATCAGGCTTCTTGCAAGAAAACACTTGCGTTCTGAAACGATGTGGGTTTCCTATAATCGACGATTACACCGCATATTATCGATACAAACAATGATTGTTATTTTTAACGACAAAGAGATTCACGTGAGAGCGATGATAAGCGAGAAAAATCGAAGGATATTGCGAGCGGACGATTGCAGCAGATATAATTTGCAACGGAGAGGGGAAGCTCGAACCAGCTATATAATATAATATTATAAGTGCACTTGTTCATGGCATTGATGATTTAACCATTTGCAAGTTCTATGTCCAAGTGGACTTCACATAATCCTTTGCGATAATGGTTTTCCCCAAGTATATATATTTGAATCAGTGTATGATTATAATTAACAAATAAATATTTTTGGAATCCTCATAAATTCGTCCAATTAATAAAAATTTTTTAATGATATTAGACCTGTCGATTAAATTAAATCAAATCGAGGATATTTCATTTTCGCTGATTTGAAAGATAATTTGGATCGCCAAAAGTTAATTACGAAATGTCAGCATTGGAGAATTTCGGGATTTATATTTTACCTACATTTACGCTTATTCTCGTGGAATTGTCGTGAAAAACGATCTCGCATGCAGAATGATGAGACGAGTCATGCGCGGTATTGCTGTTATTGAAGCGCGGAGCGGCGCGCGGCGTGGGCCGGTTTCCTTCCGGTGCAACAATATATGTGACATAAAAACAACGTATTTACACACGACATGAGGCGTGTCACGTCAAAAGAAACGTTGAAATTCAAATGTTACGAAACCGCAACGTTGTTGCATCGACGTGGCGCAGGACGTGACGCGGGATATCGGGGTGAGAAAGAGAGAAAGAGAGACATCACATTATTCCCGATGTAGATTTATGTTTGGACAAATACGTCGAGGCAAAAGTAAGGAGTAACAGTTTCGCAACGAGATATCGATTCATTACAAAGCAGCTCAAAGTCACATTTAAGCTACCGACGTGCTTTCCGGCAGCGAGATTGGAAACACAATGGTTTTTCTTATAAAGAGCAAATCACTTATTAATAATATTGAATAAACGTGTTTCACGGTTTTAATCTTTCGAGGTAATGTTTGTTTTTTTGCTCTCGATGATTTTCTGATTCATCACATCTGATTCATTGCGTGTGATTTAAATGAAATCGAGTCGTTCGTTATTAAACGACGTGAGTCAACTTCTTTTTTACCAATAAATCAGTTATTCTAAATTTAGATGACCTTTCTTTGAAAGACTTCCAGCACGCAAATATATAAATTAAATATAATATTTTTAAATAGTAAAACAATGTAGGTATATGACTCGTAAAAGATATGCGTAACGTGACTAATTGTAAGATTACCTGGTGTTTTACTCATAAGTGACGTGAAATAAGAAATTTTAGAATAAAAAATTTCGAAAATTTCTCTTTTTCTATCAATTTTTTTTGTGACGCGTGGTTTCCTTTTTGCGGAATGACGTACACAATCGTGTCCGGATGGAAAACTTTTGTTCGCCGCCGCTAAAACTTCTCGCAGCGGGCTCGGATCTACAGCGCGAGTGCACTCTCGTTTCACCTGTTAACGTATCACGTTTGTTACCGTTACGATCCTATTGTCGGAAAAATGCGACGAAACCGCAACGATATAGTAGTCACGGAATTGCCGGGTCGCTCCTATATGATCATTATTATCATGATACCGCCGCGCGTTCGACAAATTCGGACAATCGAGGAGTTACCTTTCACGTCTCGACGTAACACCCACGTATATCTCTCATGTTAATATACGTGAATCACACCATTGCATTGTACAGTCACCGCACTTAAATTATTTTCGATCGACACCGAAATCACGTCATTGGACACGTGCATCGCCTTAAATGTGCGATCAAGCGAAAGTTCGAAATTGTTACGTCTATACAATGAGACGAGCGGCAACGATTAATCTCACACGACGGCGAGATAAATCGACTACGTAACGATCGGTACCGCAAAGACACTGCAAAACACACTCGATTTCGCGATACGTGTCCAGTTAGACAGGCAGAAGGAATAATAAAACGAACGAGAACGTTCGTTTTATTGGCCGAGATCCTTCACCTTGTTCAGCCCTTCGTCTCTCTCTCACACGTCTCTCGCGCTCGAGATTTCTCAGAAGGTGCGTTATCCGACACTGAGAACTGAGAGAGCCGTATCGTAACTTCGTAACCGCGCAACGGAGCGAAAGCTCGAAATCGCGTCCACGATCGCGGGACGAGAGAGCGGCGCGATTAATCTCTCTCGCGACTAAGATAAATCGATTACGTGCTGATCAATCGCGTGTACTGCGTAGCGTCTGATTGTCACTTTCAGGCTTATTGCGCGTCGCGCGTTGAAGTACGATAACACCAAGCAGCGGCAATTTATTCCCAACGTAAATGCGACATTGTCATCACGCTCTCGGAGCATTTAACTTACTGACTGGCGGAGGCCTGTTTCCACGAATGATAAGGCCGCGCCTAAGGAGCCACTTCGACCTTAGATATGTATCAGTGCAACCGTATCGTTGCGTATCAGTGAAAGCCGGGAGTTCGCGATCGCGAGATTGTCGGAGTTTGATTGCCTCGACATTGGACACTATACGGGCATTGGGTTTTGTCTAATCAACTTTAAATTATCAGCGTAAATGATCGAATACGCGAGAACAGCGTAATATTTTCGTCACAAACGAAGTCTGAATTATTTGGGGACAAAATTTTTAAATTGAAAAAGGTATAATTTAAATTTTTACCTGAACTGTGGTATGTTTCTCTTTAGTTTGCAAATATGAAAAAAATTACAATTTTTTTGAACAGAAAAGAAGTTGCATGGACAAGTAGAAATTAATCTTGCGTTTCTTTTGTAGATTTCTTGTATAGGTTGCTCATGCTGAGTTAATATCGCTGTATCGCACGTATTACTCGCAGAGTGTCATAATGATTAGTCTCGAAAGCTATTATTTGATCGATGGACGTAGTATTTGTGAAAGACGTCGAATTTAAACGCGCGAGCTGTGTGATCTGTAGGCTGTCGATCGCACGCAAGAAAGCTCAATATCGTGAAGTAATAATTACATAATTCCGTGGCAAACAGATGATTGAAATCAGTAGAATATATCCAACGAAATTACAATTTCGAGTTCGTTCAGGTAACGCGCAATAATGATAAAAAAATGTGACAAGTTAAAGAGTCATCGTAATCTGCAATTAGAATTATGATTCAAGTACGATTGACGGAAAATGGTTATTTTTCAAATAATTAAAGTACGTAGCGCGATATTGGGATAGGTCACTTTTGAAGTAATACGTTCGCGCTGGCGAAAAGAAGAGGCGGTTTAATAATAGTCTTCCGGATGCAACAACGGCATTGACCCACATCGGTAGTGTCAACAATTTACGAGGTAATGGACAATCGTTTACTGCGTTTATTGTCAATGCACGCTCGTACGTACGGGCAAAAGTCCCACGCGCGCTACTTAAAGGAATCCTTGACGGGAATGACGCAAATATACCGTGAATATCGCGATATGATCGTTCGACAGTCGAGTATATAGGTTTCTTCGTAATGTCGCGAGCGATGACTCTTTGACTCAGGTGAATCCTTCCTTGACTCATGCGCTCGCGTCGATGCATTTTACATCTCGTTGAAAATTATGCATCTCTCTGATGCATTTCTCATTGTCAAGAAGAAATATCGTTTTGTTTCAGAGTCGTCGTGAGACTGGGTAGTACGGTGCCGTTCTCGCAGGAATTGAACGAGTTGCAGGAGGAAGTGAAGCCGCTATGGAAAATGCCATCGTGCCCCAGAGACTTCAAGAGGACCAGTGTAGAAATACTCTTCCGAGAGGCTGAGTTCAGATTGGACTGGTGTTCCTTCAGATTAGTAAGTTGCGGTTGATTAAACTGCGTTGCTGCACATACACGCGCGAAACCTCACTTACCGTGATTAATGTTAAATGCCCGAGAAGAGTCTCTTCCATATGTCTTTGGCGAAAATTGACTGTCTATTTATATAACGTTTGCTATTTATATAACGTTTACTCACGTTATTCGTCTTTCACAAAATTATGCAAACACGATTGCATGCGAATTACATTATCACGTCAAATCTCTAATATGTTAATTATCTTTTCGTGGATCACGCAGATCTCTAGACACGTCATTGTACATTTCACTCGATCGTGTCGTCATCGCATATTTCTTGGATATTGTCAGTCATCAGGATCGTCCTTAATTTGCGGAATGCAGTTATTTCCGCAGTCTCATCTCGATCAAGCGATATCCACAATTTACGCAATTTTACGTGAAATGCCAATCGCGCAAATCATACTCGTTATCTCCTTGTGACACCTCATTATACGACACTCTCCTCGTTAGTTGCTCGGTAAAGGTATAATTTTCGCAGCTGGAGGAAGATCAACAGAGTCTGCAGCACGAGAGCGCCCGGAGGGGCCCCAGCGCGAACGTCGTGGGTTTACCGTCGTCGGGCATCTCCGAGCACACGGAGTGGCGGTGGGCCCGTTCAACGAAGGCCAGCATACCCACGAGAAGCTACTTCAAGGAGATCGCCACCACAATTTTCGTACCGGTCGCACTGCTCCTCGTGCTGGGCGCCTTACTTAGCACCGCTTTCTGTCTACATCACGAGAAAATGTAAGCGCACGATACATCTCGGTTGGAGGAAAAACCAGTCAAACTTGTTTCAAAACGATGATTATTTGCATTCCAGAAAAACTGATTTTAGCAATTTTATCTGCATATTTCTCTTACATTGTAATTAAAACGCTTCTGTTTTATATCAATTTTTTTTAATCTTTAATTGACATCAAACTTTTTTTACGTATTGACGGCGCGCATAAAAAAATTGCATAAGAGATTCTATGCTGTGGCTGAGAGTGGGATGAAGATACGCAAGTCGGAGTCTTTTCTCTAGGCTAGTCATATAAAATGAGTAAATGTTTGTTGTTTTGAGGATCAGCAGACGTAAAATAATATGTTTATGAATGTAAAAATGGCACAAAATATCAGCAAATAAGTCTATAAATGGTAATACATTTAAAAAAAAGAATAACATACACGCTGCATAATGTATTAAAATAAACAAAAAAGAATAGTCTGAAATGATGTATTGCTAAATTTCAATTATAATATTGTACATTAAAAAAAAGATGATGTATCGTAGCTCTTTTGCCGTTAACATGTAAATGTGGTGAAACAAAATGAAATATGTCGCATTAGCAAAAGGATAAGGCCGTCCAGAAACACACGTGTCATAAAGTGACATTCACGAAAGACCAGAACAGTATCAAGAAATTTACGCGAGTACAAAAAAGGATGGCTTCGAACACGAACGGAAGCATTTATCCAATTTATGGCACATGTAATTGTGCTAATAATTATAACACTTGAAGAGTGGGGGATATTATCGAAAACACAGTTTCATATACAAAGTGGCCGACTATTATCAAAGAATATCTGACTAACAGACTCAAAGCTAGTTCTTGTTGAGCAAGAACATTTTAATCAAGAAGAAGACAATGTCGAATTACCAGAAGATGTCCTATCAGAACATTTAATGTTGCAGGCTAAAAGATTTAGAAGAATGACGCGCGATCAATTTTTCGCCGTGGAAAAATCGATTTCGAATTAGACAAAGATAGACGAAGTTTATACTTATGTAGCTTTTCCAACATTTTTGTAAGATTAAGAACTGTATATTTTGCCGTATACATTATCACGTTCCAGTTTCCTTTCCTTGCAGCTCAAGGCAATAAAAACGGACGTTCAGGGACGGTTAATTTGCGATGAATCGCAACGAGGCGGGCACTATCTTTCGAGAGGCACGCGGTAAAAAGTATTGCAATTACAGTCATCGGGATAATGTAATTTACATACGCGACACAAACAACCAATTGCAGGCATAGTATAGACATAGAATTGAGATTCTTGTACGTGTGACGTAACCGATCCAATTATGATCTTATTATGGACTCTATGTGCGTCACGTTTATTTTGCACGCATACGTATTTAGTTGGTAAAACGAAAAAAAAAGGACTATTTTAGCTCGTCGAACGTCAAACCTATTTTAGGATTGAATTAACGATAAACTGATAGCACAGATAATTGCAAATAAATGCATAACGGTTTAACATACCTATTATTTATAATTTTTAATACAAGGTTTTTGCGAAAGTTTACGTACGGATGACTATTTTCCAGTCATCATCATCAATCGCTCCAATTTTGCCGTGAACTATTGAAACAATTATCTATTATATGCTGCCGATAATTTCTAATAAGTATTCCCGATCCCGAGAGCGCGTGACTGTTTCTGGGTTCTGTTATTGGCAATGCTTAATTAATTAGCTGTCAATAACATCGGTAATGCTCCGTGTCGCTATCTACCACAGAAACCGATAAGGAGAAAGAGAAAACGAGAAAAGAAAGCAGAAAAGAAAACACGAGTATAATAATAAGAATAAAGACCGAAAAATAAAGAATAATAAAAGATAATAAAGAATAATAAAAAATAATAATGGAAAGAATTAAAGAAAGGGACTGATTGATCGATATGATGAGTTTCATATTTAATTAATTTTCAATATTTTCAACGACACCATTTAATAAAACCGGTACCGCACTAATAATATGTAGGGAAAAATATCGACATATATTTTTTAAAAATAATTATGCCTAGTCATCAACGATGACAATAAGAAATCACCTGATCTTTCCCTCTCTTTCACTAGACATTCGCGTCATACACGTGCCCACTATTACCATTTTAGCACATATGATTTGGTATCTTTTGCCGTGTGTATACACATTTGCCATTGGCGTATGGCATACATACGTGCGTGCGTGCGTGCATGCGTGCGTGCGCGCATACATAACGAACGGGTAAGTGACCGCGAGTGATCGGCGCTTTACGATCAATAGTCAGATGGTGTATGACGTGATCGAGATCGGAGTGACGCAATAGAATCGCTTATCGGCGACGGCGGCTGGCTCGTTCACGCGGAAATAGATTAATGTATCTGCACCGATCGATGTTGTTTTCCGATCGTCGAACGGCCGATCACGCAAAACGAGCGCTAATTTTACATTCCGATCAATGTAAACACCGGTTGAGTTTTGTATTCTTGAATTGGCGTCTGGTCGCGCGTCTACTAAAATTTCCCACTATCGCAGCTCTCTCGTTTGTCCGCGATCGCGACGCGATGCGATACGTCGAGCAACGATCGGTGTGTCACTGCTTAAACGACGCCACGTCATTTCGTGAATTTATGTATAAGATGTAAAAGAGAAAAAAGAATTCTCTTTTTCGTTTTATTAAATGTACAGTTTTACACCGTTAAGGGATGAAATTTAAACATATACCTTGAGTTAAATAACATTTTGTTATTTTTGACTACCACGTGTGTCGAAAATTATTATTTTAACAAAACAGTATTATTTTAACTCCATTGATTTAGTAAAATTAATGATATATTGAGTAGGAGTAGTGGCGACCTATAGAAATGGTTAAAAATTAAAATTGAGTGTAATTTGACACTACGAATTTAATAATGCAGATAATAATAAACCTTTAATAATACACCAATAATACATTTTTTGATTAAAAGACAAATGATAAAATTCTTTTAATAATATAAATTGTTAAAAGTTTATCTGGAGAAACGCGTCCATTTGTGGAAAGGAATAAATACCCGACAAGAAGATATAAAAACCGATTATTTAACAAATTACCTCGAGAGTAAGAATGCTGTCCGAAAGAGATATATAAAGAATCTAAAAAATCGATACGTTTTTCAGCATATTCAATATTTTTCATATGTTATTTTATTTTATATACTACACTGCACCCCGTTCGATAAAAGACGTGGAATAGGGCGGGAATTTCTAATAATACCTACAAGTTCGCAAAATGACATAACGCTGCCTCGGTTGAACGCTTCAATTGCTGGCCACAAAAGCGGCGTGGCCCGGCTTCACTGTACCGCTGTAAAAGGCGTGAAGTGCCCGGAAATGATGCTTACAATGGCTACAAAAGCCACTTTACAAAGTTACCGCATAAGTGCTGCCATAAAATCTATAGGCTTTTCTATGCACTTATGAAAACGTGCTCTAACTAAAGATATCCGTATTTTTATATCCGCGTATAAGGTGTATGCGAAATTGCTGGAAAAAGTGTATCGTTCAACTCGACTGCAGTTAGGAAAGTTATATTAAGTATAAGTATCGAATCAGTTTTTTCCATTTTGCCATGGTTTACATCTTAAAGAGATTGATCTAATTTAACGTACATGTCTCCCTTGTAAGTCTACGTCTCTTTGTTGATTTATCTGTCACTTTACAACACACTTTCACTTTAGTACACAGCATGTGACTCGTTACTTTTGATAATACCGGCTAATCTATTATAGTTAGGCGGTTTACGTCAAAGTATTTATCGTAAATATTTAACGAAACCTCTTGAACCTTCCAATGATAATGCGTATTCAAACGATACACGAAATCGCATCTAATCTAATCGTATAACGTCAATATTTTTTGCGACGGAGAGCAATAAAACCATTGAGGTAATTTATAAACAGCTCACATCAGTATGCGAGTTACGATCGCGAGGAAAATAAACATGAATCTATGTATAATCGCTTCTGTTCGCCAAGTGTAATAAGTCCATTACCGAACATCCGGCACGTAACAATTATGAAACGCGTTTGGCGAACGTAAACATTATCAATCGTAATGTGATAATTCACGTAAAATATTTTAGGTTTATGATTTATTGTAAAGTGCAGATGTAGGTATTAATTTCACGTTTTAATGTAATTTTTACGAATTTCAATATTCGTTTCGCGATAACGGAGATTCCGATCAGCGGGAGGCGCGTTTCTTCCTCAGTAAGATTAAATATTACGGCCGACTCAATACGCGTCCATAATTAGAAGCGTATCGCGACGTGCGATTAGGCGGAATGTGGCGGAACTTCGTTAACGGCTTTTAATCAGGTCGCCGGCTGTTAGTATGTTGCATGGTAACGGTACGATGCATACAACGATCGCAGTGAGTTCGCAAAGAGAGGGCCTACCCAAAGCACCGCACTCGCACGCACTCGGGTGCGTGCGTGTCTTGGGAGTACATCGTGGGGCGCGACAATTTTCATCGGCGCGTCGCGATAACAAGTCAATTACGTCGTGCCACACGTGACGATTGACGCAACGCTGACGCAGCCGCGTGCATTTCGCGTGGCACCGGGAGAGTGTCGGTAATATAAGGATCCATTTCAAGTCACGATCGATATGCACATTCGCCGTATGCATTTCCGCGTTTCGCATTTTTGTCGAATCGCTCGCGTTCCACGATGAGGGGGACCCCGACGACAAACCGTGCCGCGATCAAGGTAATCGCGCGGTTGATAAAATGTGAGCGCTGCGCAAACAGGAACAGGACTCGCGCGACATTCGCGCGATATGACTCATTAAAAAGTTCTGGCGGTTATGCGAATGGAGAGAGAGACAGAGAGAGAGAGAGAGAGAGGAGCTATTCGGAGGATCTATTCGTCGGAATACGATTCGAGCGGAACCCGTCGTAGAAGCCTGTCGCACAACGGAAGAAGTCCGGTTTTCGCCGA